GATAGAGATCTCTCCTCCTCTCAAAGCCTGGTTGTTTAGGCATCACCTGATTATAAAGACAAACAACATGAGAAATTATTCAGGTTTGTTCTGATGAGATTACACTCCCTAGCTAAGATCAAAATGATTTTGTAACTCTGCATGGTCAAAACTTAAAGACAGTGCACAATTAGTTTGTATCTAAACTTCAGCTGCATATTTGGATTAGGTTGATACCTCAAAGCAGGAATTGTAAAAAGATCCCCCGAAGCCAGAACACAATTGACATGCCAAAGATGACCATGCAACTGTTCACAGGATCTCTTTTCTGTAGTCGTCTTCTTTGAGAAAAGTCACACAATTTTACTTAGTTTTGTTATTTATTAATAACAGTCTATCTTTATTACTTAACAAATTATAAATAGTTAATAAATAAATATTTTTAGACATTATAATTAATAGTTAAAAAAAAAAACCTATAAATTAATAAAATATCAGTAAAAAGGGTATAGCCTTAATAAAAATATAGGTAGGAATAAAATAACCACCGCCGGCTGGAGTATGTTTTTTACCCTTTCTTTTTTTTGGCAAAAATACAACATAAGGACCCAAACTTACACATAATTTACAATTTTGGATCCATACTTCAAATGCACTCAATTAAGGTCTCAAACTACACGCAATTCTCAAATAAGTTCCCAATTGGACGAAAAACTAATTTTCGTCAAATCTCCTGTTAACTTGTTAATGCCCGTCACACTCCATCCGCCACTTGAAAAAATTATGCTGATATATCATTATTTTGCCACGTAGATGCCATGTAGACATAATTTTATAGATTGTCTTGAACAGGCCCCAGGACTTTAATATAAAAGATAAAAGTAAATTTAAATAAATCAAAAAAATTAAAAGAAATCCAAAAGGTTAAAAAAATTAATTATATAAAATTATTAATAAAATTATCATATAAATAATAATTTTATAATATTATATATAAATAATTTCAATAATACCCACTTACAATTATATAAATTTATCGAATTTTTATTAAAAAAACACTAATTATATTATATAAATGGAATATAAATTTTTTTATTGTATATAAATAATAAAACATTTCTACATATAAAAAATAAGCACAACACAATAAAAGAATTAAAAAAAATAATCTACAATTAAAATTAAATAAATCAAAGCCGAAAGACAAAAGAAAGTACAAATGGAGTTTGGGTTTTCATTGCAGCGGATAACTCGGCAGGTCGAATCAGCCAAGCAGCAACAGCAAGCGGTAGCACTGGCGGCAACGCAGGTTGCACCAACGGCAACGTAGCACCGACAGCAAGGCAAAATTAGTGGCAACGATGAAGTTCTAGAGATGGAGATTCCGCCGTCGCCGGAGAAGAAGAACATCTAACTTTAAAATTCTTAATTATCATCCATAATCTCAGAATAATTTAGTTTCTATAATCGTTTAAGATCACACGATCTCACGATCTCACAATTTTGTGCACGATTTTTGTCGGATTTAGATCGTTGAAGCCACTTAATATCGTAAAATCGTGCGATCTTACGATTAAAATTGCGATTTTAACAACCATGCCTGCACCTGCACCTACACCTCCACCTTTGCCTCTCCGCTTCCACCTGCACCTACACCTCCACCCCTGCCTCTCCGCTTTCACCTGCACCTGAACCTCCGCCCCTGCCTCTTCGCTTCCATCTCCACCTCCACCCCCGCCTATTTTGTTGTCTCCTAAAAAGGTTATTGAACACCGATTAAGCCAACTACAGCTCTGCTTTCATTTCTGCCTCGGCCTTCTCCTCCCCTATTTCAAACAGATATTTCAAGACAGAAATCGAAAAGGATTTCAAGATCGGTAGGAAATTGCAAGGAAGTAAGAATGAAGATGAAAATTTTCAAGATCTCGTTGCGTTTTGAAGAACCTGTCACCTGAAATTTCCAGATCTCCTTATGCTTTCGCAAATGGAGAATGAAGCCGGTTAAAATTAGGGATTTTATCCCTAATTTGTGGGTATCATGAGTCAAAAAGACCAAAAGGCCCACCAGTTGTTTGTGGAGCCATAAAATCATGTTTACATGGCTTCCACGTGGCAAAGTAATGACATGTCAGCATAATTTTTTTCAAGTGGCGGGTGAACTGTGATGGACATTACGGAGTTAATAAGAGATTCGACCGGAAGTTAATTTTCCGTTCAATTGGGACCTTATTTGAGAATTGCGTGCAGTTCGAGACTTTAATTGAGTGCAATTGAAGTATGGGTCCAAAATTATGAATTATGTGTAAGTTTGGATCCTTATATCATATTTTTGCCCTTTAACCCCCCCTTATTTTTGCCCTTTAAACCACCCCCTTCCCTTTTTGTCTTGAGGGCTTTGGAATATTGTTTGTATTTGAAATATTATTGGAACTTGGAAGCACAAGCCAAGTTATATAGACAAGTTGA